AAAAAAAAAAAAAAAAAAAAAAAGCTGAAGTAACAGCAATATATGCAAAAGGGATGATTTAATGACTATAAGCAAGACAAAGCAATAGAATTGTGCTTCTTTTGCAGACTGGGGAAAATGAAATGTTTAGCTACAATTTCTCATACAAACATGAAGCAATATTCATACAGAATAAACACCCTCACAAATAACTGAGTGATGAACACACACCAATTTCGACCAAAGCAAAACACAAACTGACAATTCTTGGGGATATTGATATTTAGTTTGAGCTCAACCTAAGGAACTCAGCCAGATTTTTTTTTTTTTTAAGGCTGGAGGTGCAAAGGCCCTGGGTTCAATCCCCAGTACTGGGGGGGGGGAGAATTTGTTAACACTGTACCTTTCTTGTCTTTTAGCAGAACATGAAAAGAAGTCAAGACTGCTTCGGTCACCACTGTATGACATTTATGACAGTGTTTTCACACAGAAGAATTTCCACAGGCTGAGAAAGGGGTCATAGTTTGAACTTCTGGTATCAAAACGGCTGCCAAATCTTTGTTCATTTAAATCATGGAATCGTAACCTACATTAGGAAAGTCAGAAATAGGGGAAATGCAATGAGTAGACCTGTAGAGCAGGTCTGGCTTCACTCATTCATAGAGTTATGTGCACTGAGGAGACAGAAAACAACCCATGAATAAATGTATAGTGACCCTGCCCAACAAGTATGTGGGCCAAATGACATTAGATTAGTAGCTTCTTTTCTTGGGGGAACGGAAAGACAGGCAGAACATTTCTTCCTGAATTCTATACCATTATGCATAGGGTTTCAAAGGAGTGGGAAAAAAAATATCCTTGTCTGACCATGATCCAGCAGCCCAACAATTCCAGGCTATTTCTGCTTTATGAATCTTTCTATTGGAACAAACCTTGAGATTGCCAATCCTTAGCATCAGATGTAGTTCTTCTCTGCCACAATGCCCCCTCCACTCTTCCCTGCAAAAGGAGAAAGGAAGGCAGCACCTGCAGTGAAGAAAGTGTAGTAGCAACAGCTGAAACCAATTACCATAGTAAGCCCTATGCCATACCGTCAGGAACTTTTCCTGCGATTGGTATATTTCATCCTCAATTGGACTTGATAAAACCAAATTAGCTTTGCAAGATGTGCACGAATGCCACCTTCTCCATTCTTATCAATCATTTGGAAACTAACTCTCATGGAGTTTTGAACTTGTCTTACAAGAGAGCTGAGCACAGGCAAGCTCAGGGCTTGGTAGGGCCACGGTGGAGGTTTCTTCTTTAGTGAGTGCTATAGGACTGAGAGGTGCTTTCAGAGGAGACAACTTTCATTTCACACTTAACCTTATTCATTTATTTTTATTTTTATTTTTTTGGTACCAAAGATCAAGCTCAGGACCTTGCACTTGCAAGGCAAGCGCAGTGCCACTGAGCTAAATCCCGGCCCCAACGAAGTGCGTTTTTCAACGGCACTATCTAGTAAACTTGAGAAAACTGAAGGTTGTTGAAGGTGTACGAAACAAGGCCCTTGAAATGACCCCAAGACGCGTAGGACGAGCCTCACTTGTTTAACAGACCAAATCGTGCCAGGGGAAAAAAAATGCCCCAATGTCCTGAGGCCCCGAGAGCAGGTGGCCATTGGCTTTCCAGGCCTAAAGCGGAGCCTGGTCAGAACTCGTTTGCCGCCCAACGCTCGAGGATACACTGCAGCTAGCGCCGCGCCTGCAACTAGAAGGCTTCCGCCTTGAAAAAAAAGCGGTCACGGCCGGCTTCCGGTTCTCCTCCTTCCGGGCGCCCAAGACCTTTTATCCTAGTTGGCACTTGTCCCCACCCAACCTCTCCCTCGGGATTCTCCACACGACGAGGAGCAATTTGCACGTTTGGAGGATGTGACGGTTACGCTGTGACGTCGCCACTGAGAAAGGGGTTAGGCGAACAGGGTACCACCGGTCTTCAAAGACTGAAGCTCCACGCTCTCACAGAGGGACGCTGAGAGACTGGAGGCGGGACTAGTTTACGACTGACGTCCACACACACCCATCGCCCCGCTCATTCCTTCTTAAACCAACCAATGAATGCAACGACGGAGACTACAACTGCCTCAGCCGCTAGTGGTGGATCTGTCCCGCCCCCTGGTCGCCATGTTTAGTGTGGCTACTTCCCCTTTTGCACTACTTTCTGCTCTCCTTTGGCTTCCTTTAGTCTTTTCTGAACTCTTTACCTAGGATTTTCTTCCCTTCAACCATCAATTTCCACCTTCTGGGCTCTGTGCCTGCTCGCGTTTACTTAGACACACTTGACATGGCGGCCAGAGGCGGTTCCCAAGGCGGGGCGCGACCTGCGCGGTGACGTCAGCGCGCCGCGTGTCGGCAGGTGGAGGGAGAAGGGAAAGTTTGGCCCTTGGTGGTGCCCGGGTGGAGGGCGGGACAGGGGCCGGGCCCAGGCAAAGCTTTGGTCGCGGGTGCT